GTATTCTCTGATCAAAGGAAAATGAGAAAATATATTGCCTTACAGCAAACACAATAATCAAGTACAGCGCACTTTTTCGTTCCCTTTTGTGGGGCGGGAAAAACAAAACATTTTGGACGCATCATAAATTGTTTTATTCAGAGTACTAAATTTAAATATAAGAACTAATTAAATATTTAATTTTATTCTAAATATAATATCTTAATCTGTAATTTGTTTTTCATATTTATTTTTTTTAAAGTAGATTACACAAATTAAAAGGACTTCATAATAATATACGTGATAAATAATAGTATTTTATAGAAAACAATACTCATTCATTACGAATGACTAATTTAACTAATCTTTTTAATATTACAAAGTAGTTATTTAATTCTTGTATTACATATGGGAGTGTGTAAATTGAGGGTGTTTGTTTTACCCCAGTCATCATGCATCACCTTTAATTTGTTCAAGCTGTAGTTAATTGTACATGTTTATTGAATAAACAAAAGCCATTAAAATAAAGAAGTGGCTTTTGACAAAGAAGGGAATCATAATTTTGTCAGAGGTGTTTGAGTCATGAGCCACTAACTCACTGTACATATGAAGCCGGCCCAAAAAAAAAAAAAAGAAGGACTATTGAGTCTAAATACCGCTATTGTATAATCACGTGAAGTTGTACCATTGAGCATAATTCACAATGAGTTGGTGGTGCTTTTTAAGGGTAATAAATCTATTTTTATGGTATGTTCTACTTCAGAAAATTTCCAACACCTCTTTCAATGATTTTCACTAGGATCTCTCTTTATTTTGTTTGACGTCAGAAACTATCACGACAAAATCAATATTTTTTTTTTTAAAAAAAGAAAAGTTATGAGAGGTGTGTGTGTGTGTGTGTGTGTGTGTGTGTGTGTATAGAGGGAACAGGGCAGAGTAAAAAGGCACGGCGTGGATTTGTATTTTATGATTTTCCCATTCGTTATTAAATTTTTTCTTTCCTCACTCTTTATAGTTTGGCATGGCCTTCAAAAAAAAAATTTGGAAGACAAAATTCATATCATATGCTTTCTCCGGTCATTTTTATCAGGTCTTGCTCAGGTTCGCTACAAAGTTAAAAGATTTAATACGTAGACAAAAGATGCAAAGGAAATCTATAATTAAACCAAGAAAACCAATATTACTGATAATGGCACAAATATCTCAACATAAACAAGCAAAATGAAGATAAACTGCATTGATGACTCCCTAATTAATTCTGATAAAAAATATTAATAAAAATAAGACTCAACGAATTTCGTTGATGTGACTTTGTGAGTGAGTCTCACTTTATTTTTATCCTGCTAAATCTCTCCCGTCGAGTCTCTACTTGTTGGCAGAGTAGCCAAATTCTAATAATATTACTATCTCTAATTTTTAATATAAGAGTTAAATTATTAATTTAAAAAATTAGTTAAATTAGTTATTTATAATAAATATGTACTACTCTTATTTGCATTGGAATGAAAACCCTTATAATTAATGAGAATATTTTTAAAAAAATTGTAAATCAAATCTCCTAATTAGTTCTTATATTAAGTACCGAAAGTAATATTTATGCATACATGATTTAATATCTCAACCTAATTAAACAACCAAAACGAACATAAACTACGTTGATGACTCCCTAATTAATTTTGATAGAAATATTAATAAAAATATAATATGACTCCATGGATTTTTTTTATGTGACTTAGGAGCGAGTCTCACTTTATTTTTTGTCTTGCTAGATCTTTTTGTTCCAGTCTTTGGTTGTTGGCAGAGAAGAGCTAAATTCTAATAATAATATTTATATACATACGTGATTTAATTTCATTTTTTAGTGACAATAAATTACTCGTTACCGACCAAACCAAATTTGAGCCGCACGGCTCCAATTATTGAAAAAGCTCTTCGAACGTGATTTTTCTGTTCACATTAAGTTTGAATACTCACCCCGCCCATTATTGGTAGACAGAATTAATTTCTTTCACTCCTTTGAATATTGTCCAAAGTTAGATGACATAAATGATCTCGATAAGCTGTAAAAGTCTAATTCTGCTTTTGATATTTTCTTTCCCTGTCAATATCTGTAATCACTTATGTATTCTAAAGTCTAATGCGCCAAACATGTCTAAAAGCGGGGGGAAAAAATTGTTCCCAGAATATCATGAAGTCATAATATTGTGATAGAAGATGAAGAAAATTCACTTTATGGGGAGTGTGAAACTTGTTTTCTTCATATATGGTCCCGTTTTTCCTTTTTAAAGCAATATAATTTGAAAAATAAAGATCTAAATGTCTAAAGAGGAAGAAATAATGGCTGGTCAAAAAAAAAAGAGAGAGGAAGAAATAATGTGTGAAATGGACAAGGATGAATAAAATGTAGCCCATTCTTGGAGCAAAATTACCCCACCACCTTATCTTAAAAGAAGATGCTCTCCATTGCGGAAAATGACTGTCTAAAATTCAGTGTTCTTTTATGCTGTTGATCATTTTTCAAGAGTTAACTTGTACTCCTTTGGTCTTATTAAGATAGAGAGAGAAGGTTTTACTTGATCTTATTTGTAGTCACCTCATTAAATTTTTACCATAAATATACTATTTTGTTCTTTATTTATTATAGTATAGATAGTTATTTTTTTAAAAAAATGTATATATATTAAATAAGGGTAAAGTTAAAAAATTGTTGTATTTTAAGAGAGAATTAATACGGTTTAAAATTTTTCTTGGTTTGTGTGAAACATACTGAGAATGCCTTATAAATAGAATTATAGGAATATATTATATCCATATGCTTAAACCAATAAATTTTGTCACATTTAGTGTATTGGGTATCATACCTATTATTTTCCCTTAAATACACTTCATGTCTCTGCATTATGTATGTGTAGCTTTGATGAAAAAATGATCCAAACAAGAACATAAACATGTAAACTAGAGGTGTTCAAAGTGTTCCGTCCTGGTTCCGATCATTTTGGGATAGGACAGTCTCATCCTGAAAATTTTCAAGACGGGACAAAAATTGATTTGAGAAGGGACAGGATGCAGGACAGGGGTATCTCATCCTGGTCCTGTCTCGATATTTTTTTTAAAAAAATAAGTTTATTTTATTTTTAAACACTCATAATATTTTTCTCCAAAAATCTTGTTTCTTAATTTATTTGTTTTATTTTTTTATTTAATTAATGACATTTTGTATATCGAATGGACTTGGTAGTACTCATGCTTAATGTTTTGTAGGCTTGCATGCGTATTGTTCTTATGATAATTCAGGATACCATATTTTTGGGTATTTTTTTATTTTTTTTAATCACCTTCATTTTACTTGAACATTTGAGTGCTTAATTTTCTTATGTATTCATATAATTAGAAAAAATGGTTTGCTTAGATTTGTGTCCTAAACCATTTTGATGTGTATATCACTATATTGTTGTGTTTTTTTTTCCCAATTTCTATTCAAATACATGAAGAGTTGCTTATGACTTTAAAAATTCAGATTTGAAGAATATGCCCCCCCTTAATTTTCACATATGTATTATTATTTCTCAATAATTTCATTTTGAGCAAAAATTTCATGTTGTGGCTTTTTTTCTTTCTATTTGGTGACAATGTAATCTCTTTTTTATTTGGCTTAATTAACTGTTTCAGGTTTTTTTTTTTTAAAAATGGACGGGATGTCCTGATCCCGTCCTGTTTGGAACCGAGACGCCTTCGAAATTGGGCGGGACACAGGATGGAAAAGCCATCCCGTCCCGTCCCTGTTCTCCTGGAGGGGTCTGGGATAGACTTGTCTGAGTCTCATCCTATGAACACCCTTAATGTAAACAATTGACTAGTATTACAAATACAAAACAAAAAATTGCAAGAAAGAAAGCTTCAACATGCCCTATAGTGATGGTTATAAATCTTGAAATAATTAAAATAAAGTAGGTAAAGATAATTCTTAGATATCGATAAAGAAAAATGGAATCAAGAGATGGGTTGTTATGGTTCTTGATGACTTGTGGGTCTCCCTAAGTGTGTGTGTGTGTCCATTGTTGAGCAACTTGACAATTCAATAATGAGTACTTTTCCTGCAAGACAGCCCTTATCTTTTGGGAGAGTCCCACTACTTCAATGAAAAGAAGGAAAGGAAGGAGAGAAGAAGTTAAACATAGCTTCTTCCCCCCCCCCCGGGGGGATAATTAAACCATGCGTAACTTTAGTTAAAGAGAAGAAGTGACTCAATTAATATACTTATCTCTTTGCATTCATCATTTTAAACATGGAAAATTAAAAAATGGAAAAGTACCTATTTGTATTTCCTTTCATACTGTGCGCAAAATATAATTCATTCCGTGAAATATATATTTGTGTTAAAAAAAATGGAAAAGTACATATTTGTATTTCCTTTTCCATTTTCATTCATAGCTTTCATTCTAGGCATCAAACAAGCCACCATATAAAATTATATGATGTTTGAGAAATGAGTCATGTTATTTACAATTTATGAATAGTATGACATATATGTTATAAATATATATATATTATGTGATAACTCAATTTATTGTAATGTAAATGATTTCAAGTATGATAGGGAATTTTACTGTTATTTGAGTAAATATTTTATATATAAGAGAGATTAGATTAATTTCGATGGATTTTACTCATTAATTAAGTTGAATATTGCGCTAATAACGAGAATAACAAAAATAAGAACTCAGTTTTAAACGAACCTATAATTGAAGGACCAAATGATTAATTCTTATTTTATTTTATTAGGGAATTAATGTCAAAACAAAACTCGTCGAGTGAAATATACATAATACACACGGATATTATATTACTGTGCTCCGCCGATCCAATTGCGAGTAATATTTCAAAAATTTTATATTCTCTGTAAAAAAAAAGAAAAAGGCATGCGATAGATTAATCCATGCAAGTAATTTTACTTTTTAACTATTGATTGAAGTAATAAAACACATAAATCTGACATAAAATGATCATAGCCACCTATTATATGTTACAAGAGTTAAAACGATATATAATGCTGAAACCAAACAATTAATTCCCTTCACTCTCATACAATTCCCAAACTGATCATGCATATGATACGAAAACAAGCTTACAAAATTTACATTAAAACATCAAGCGCAACACTTTTATTATTATACAATTGCAGACACACTTGCGAACAAAATTCAATCCCTCATTAGTTGTCCAATTTTGATGGTGTGAAATTGATCCTCCGTGTAAGATTTTGGTGTCCTTGCAAGCTCAGTAGATACTTGTTCCATGGTTGGACGAGACTGAGGAGTTTCATTCAAGCAAGAAAATGCTATTTTTGCAACTAAGATCACATCATCTATGAGTGGTTTAGCGAGTGAACAAAGTCGTGGGTCCAACACATCACTTAACAACAAATCATTATTGGTTGAATTCTCTGCCAAAGATGAAATAAGCTCTGCTGGATGTGTACCCATGATGATTTCTAAAGTCAACACTCCAAAGCTATAAACATCACATTTCTCATTCGCTTGCATAATGAAAGCAATCTCTGCAATAGGATTTAATGTTTTATATAAATATATATATCCATGATATAGCAAAGATCAATAATTTGGAAAGAATAGAAAAAAAATGTAGTCGTACCTGGTGCAGCATACCCAAATGTGCCAGCAAATGTGGTCATGTTGTCTGAGTCAGGATTCAAAAATTTTGCCGTTCCAAAGTCAATGATGCGAGCTTCTTCGTAGTCAGAACCTAGAAGAATGTTCTTGCTTGATATGTCACGATGAACAATAGGAATTGAACAACCATGATGCATATAGAATAAAGCATTAGCCACACTTTTGACAACGTTCACCCTTTTGTTCCACTCAAACTCAGTGGCTTGTTTCTCATTCTTTAGTATGATGTCCAAACTCCCACCTTCCAAGAACTCATAAACCAAAATGGAGAACTGTGAATTGGAATAAAACCCATACAACTTCACAATGTTACGATGTTTGATTTCTGTCAAAGCTCGAATCTCACTTGTGAAAGCTTTCCGGTTGGAGATTTCCCCACTTGGCATTGAATGAAGCTTCTTTACAGCAACAACATCACCTGCTGGCAACTCAGCCCTATAAACACTTCCTTGGCCCCCTTTTCCGATGAGGTACCTTTCATCAAATTCCTTTGTGGCTTCAATGATATCTTCGTACAATATTTCTCTTTCAAGACTCCATACAAAATAAACATCCTCTAGTGAACCCTCTCCATCTTTGCCTTTTGCTTTTGTTGCTATTCGAGCAACAATGAAAGATGCTCCCACAATTACTAATAGTAGTGTGGCCAATGGGAGGAATATTACCAAGAACTTTTTGCTTGTATGGCCATGTCCATTTGTTCGAAAATCACCACAAGCATGTAAACCAGTGACGTTACCGCACAAACCTTTGTTATTCCTCAATGCATCAAAGTTGTGAAAGGCTGGTTTGATTGGAACAGGGCCTTCTAATTGATTGTATGATATGTCAACTGTAGACAAAGTTGACATTGATCCACTAAAATCAGAAGGAATGGTGCCAGTGAGATTATTATGTGAGAGGTTCAATACTTGCAAGTTGGATAACATTCCAAGCCTTGATGGTATTTTTCCATTTAGCAAATTGTCACTAAGATCAAGCTGTTCAAGGTGTTGGAGTTCACCAAACTCAAGGGGAATGCTTTCATCAAACTTGTTTTTGCTCAAGTTCAAGACCCTTAAGGTTTTTAATTCCCCAAGCTCTCTTGTGATTGGGCCATTGAAATTATTTACTGCTAGCTCTAAAATTTCAAGCCGACTAAGTGATCTTATATTTGAGGGGACATTACCAGAGAAGTTATTGTGACTCAAAGAGAGTTTTTGCAAAATTATCAACTTCCCCAGTTCTTTTGGAATTTGTCCCGACAAATGATTTGAAGACAAGTTAAGTAAACCAAGCTTAGTTGAGTCTCCTAGTTCTGGTGGTATGTGACCAGAAAGCTTGTTATTGTGCATAATCATCTGTGTGAGATTTCGACACTTCCCCCATCTAGTTGAAAGTTGGCCATACAATTGATTTCCACTTAGATCAATGTAATCCAAATAAGGATATACACCAAAAGCATCTGTCATATTATCAACTAATTGGTTATCCTGAAGCATAAGCCTACCCAAAGTAGAACAATTCCTCAAACTAGTTGGAATAGGACCAGTGAATTGGTTGCCTTTAGAAATAAACCTATATAATCTCCCACCTTGACATATTTGTTGTGGCAAATGGCCATGGAAATGATTATCACCCAGTTGTAAGTTATACCAACTTATGTTATTGATTTCTGGTGGAAGTTGACCACTGAGATTGTTCCCAAACAATACTAGATTGTTAAGCTTCGTCATGTTTCCTATAGTGGAAGGAATAGATCCTGAAAGAGTGTTATCCTGTAGATAGAGTTCCAGCACATTGATCAAGTTACCAATGGATAGTGGAATTAGACCAGAAAACCTATTATTAGCTAAGGCCAAGTATTGGAGATTTGTTAGGTTTCCTATAGAGGGAGAGATAGGCCCAGAAAGTCTATTACCATATAACTGAATTTCAATGAGAGAATAGAGTTTCCACAATCCAGAAGGAATAGGACCTGCGAGATTGTTCTCGAAAAGAAAAAATCTTTGTAACTTTGTCAAGTTTCCAATTGATGACGGGATTCTCCCCAACAGAGAATTTCTTTGAAGTCCTAGCTCTTCAAGATTGCTCAACATTCCAATCTCTTCAGGAATGGGACCAAAAATCTGGGAATTTTCTCCAAGCCATAGGAGTTTCAAATTCCTCAAATTCCCAATTTCATGGGAAATTTGTCCTGTCAGATTACATGTACTAAGATGAAGATGATTCAGAGTGGTTAGATTCCAGATTTCAGGAGGAATGGGACCCTTAATTCTATTATCTGACAAACTCAACATCAAAATACTGGACAATTTACCAATTTCGTGGGGAATGTATCCATAAAAATGGTTGAAACTTACGTCGAAGTGGAGGAGATGAGGAAAGGCAGCGAAGTTGAGAGTGGAAAGTGTACCTTGAAGGCCAAGTTTTGAGAGACTTATATTGATCACAGACATGGATTCATCACAAGAAATTCCCTTCCACAACTGCCTGCAAGGATTAGTATCATTCTTCCAAGAAGACAACGTAGCTCTGCTTTCGTTGTTAAAGCTATCTCTCCACTTCAACAGAGCTTTTGCTTCGCTTTCCCCAGCAGCAACGGATGCAAATAAAGCAACACAGAAGAATAATGCTAGCAGCTTAGTGGAATCTCTTTCAGACATGTTTTTTTGGTAAATTTTTGAATCAGCTGGGAATATATTCGAAGAAGGAATATTAATGGCGGGTTAAGTTGGTGGTTGTAAATGGCGGCTATCTGAGGCTTGGGACAGACCTTCTTATAGTATGGATTGGCCTTTGTAGGAACTAATTTCCTGGTATAGAATAATATTTTGCGATAGACTTGCAAGCATAATTGACCTCAAGAAAGATTAGCTAGCCAGTATTGCTTCAACTAAGCTTTTCTCTTTTTTTGTCATCCTTGTTTCAATGGATATAAAGTAGATGATGATCTCGATCTGTTAAAGTTTTCCTTTATTATTAAATTGATGATGTTTCCCTTCCTTTTTCTTTTGTTTCCTCTGTTTTGTTCTTAATTTTTCCACAGCAACAGGAACTGATCATTATTGTTTGCCCAATACTTTATGAACTTCGTCGGGGACCAACTTGATTAAGAAGATCTGTTTTGATTTTATCTTATATTTATATTAATCGAATTTACAATAAACTGAGTATTGAAATAATTAATTAATACTCTCTTGCGTCCTAATTATAAGCCAAAATTTAAAAACTTTACTTGATCCAAAATATAGGTAAAAAAAAAATGCAGTATTTATATTTTCCCCCTAAATTGCCCCTATTTTATTGCACTTAGTAAAGGGTGAAGCTGGAAAGATGTATAGTTTTTTAAAGTTTGAGAATAGTGAAGTGCCAATATCATTCTTTAATAATCACAAAGTAATTAACTTCATGATTAGGTTTGAAAGGAGCATAGTGCCAAGCTCAACGATGAAGTGTGCGCGCCTCACAAAAGCGATAAATACAATAAGGCCTAAATTTGTTGCTACCATCCCCAACAAGCACACAAGTTGAAAAATCTCTAACAAGCACACTCAACAACAGAATCATATAAATGTATGGAAATTTATATTCCCTTCCACATCTTTTACATTAGAATTAATTAAAAACTAATTTTAAAAGATAGAGAGAACTCATTTCATAAAGTGCATAAGCATAGTTAGATAATATAATCATAAGTTTAAATCCTACTACTGCTGATATAAAAATGTTATTGGGTGGAAGATCTGTGAACACTTTTATAAGGCTCTTTAGCGCTAAAAACATGTCTTATCTCTAATGAGCTCCCAGAATTTAACTCATTTAAACTTTTATTCAAGAGGAAAAAAAGAAATCATTTCTCATCTATCAAAGACAGAGCACCCATAAAATTTTTGGCTAACAACAAATTAAAATGAAAAACTACTGGATAAGACTCTGGCCACAATAATTTGGGAAATCGCCAATAAAATTTCATTGAACTAAAAGGGAAAATTAGGGGAAAAAAGAAAAAATTAATATTTATTAAAAAGAATCTTAAAAATTAGAATTATTTAAAAACATCAAACAAGGAAAAATGGGGAAAAAAAACCTGTAAATGTAACACCCAACTCTAAGAACCTAAATGATAACAAATTTATTAGCAGCGGCTACAACTTTACCCAAAATAAAGTTAGATTTTTAAAACTTTTTATCTAACTTTAAATCTAAACTTAGAACTTCATTTTTCTCAAAGTTTTAAGTTATAAAATAAGACTTGAATTCGCTTTCAAACTACCTGTTAGCAATATCTATTTATTACAGCTATACAAATCTTACTTTCGAAAACTCCGCTTTTCTCTTCCAGCTCGATAAATCATAACTTATAAATTACACATCCCAAAACTTTGGATATATACTTTACATAGGAAATAACTATATCACTCACATCATCACGCATACAATATCGTTATCTATGTATATATACTAAACTTCCTGCTATACTAGAACTACCCCCAAGCACTCCTTATAGAGAAATATACAAACATAGCAGTAAAGATTACATGCTTCACAAATCGGGAAAAATATAAACACATCAAATATCATGAAAGGGAATGTAAACACATAATGTATTAATTTTTCATATTAACTAACTAATTAACTAAATAACTAAATTCTTCTTCTCTTCTGCCTTAGCGATGCTTCCACCAGCTTCTCTCTCCCATGGATCAACCAGGTCCTATGGTTACATAGAAAAAAAAGGTGAGATTCAAATAATCCTAGTAGCAGCAATCATATTTCATATATTATGCATAATATAAACTGAGCATGCAAAATAAATCATGAAGAACAACGCCTTACATGACTGAATAAGTGTTTGTGCCGCAGAAATCAAATGATTCCTTCTTTGTTTTCCTTTCGTTTTATTTACTTTAACTTTGAAAGTATTAACAGATATTATCGAGAAAGAGATGTTTTGAATCAATTAATGAAATTTATTTTCAAAAATATCATCAGAAAAAAAAATGAAATGGAGTTTTTTGAAACATCGGAAAAAGTTTAAGTTTTCTATTTTGTCATTTATACGAATAAAAAATCTTATGATTATTAAGAACTCAACAGGACTCCTTCTCGGCGAAGCAAAGAAAGAGGGGGCCCTATTGAGTTCTTATGCTTTCATTTCAAAAATTCAATTCAGTCGATTACCACAGGGATGAACCACAGGGATGAACGCAATCCGAAATATGAAACATAAAAGAAAATACCAATTAAAACGATCACTAACTGAAACACATTCAGTGTCATATAACTAAATCTCATATAACTGTTGTATATAATTGAATAACTAAGCAGCTGCATAATTGATTAATTGTATAATTGAGCAGCTGCTAGCTGATTAACTGATCATATGCATAGCTGATTACTAAGCATATACTTAACTGAATAATTGAGCAGCTGCTAACTGATTGACTAATCATATGCATATTTGGATAACTAAGCATGCTTAATTGCATAATCTGAATAACTGAGTGACTATGCAGTTGCATAACTGAATAACTGTGCAGCTACTATCTATTAACTGAATAATTATGCAGCTGCTATCTAATTAACTGTGAATAACTATGCAATCGCTAACTGATTAACTGTTAAATGCACATATACTAGACAGCAAAATGTATGCACATGACCATGGCAATAATTGGTAAGCCAATTTACATGTTCTCATACTTAACTATTGCATTATGACACAAACAAACATACAATCAAAACAAAATATACAAAATAATGATTAAAGCTACCTTCTGCTTGCTCCCCCATCCTGATACCTTGCCTTTGGTTTCTCCTTGGTAAACTAGGATGCCAATTAAATCCTAACATTACAAGTACATATATAAGGTAAGTTAAAACTAGTGTTATGATTAACCCATGACTACCTAATTCTCTCTAAAACCCCCCAACTTAGACACACTTCCCTCTCTTAATTGGGTTGGTCATCTTATACGAAAATTCCTATATTTAATCTGTATATTTCCAAGGGTCTCGGAAACCTCTCCTTTTCTTATGTTTCGCTTAACTTCTTAATCCATTGGAACCATAGTTGATCAAAAACAAGACAAGAAACAAAAGTCATAAATTTAATTCTTGCAAACAAACACAACTTGCATCTGTTTCCCATATATCACAGCAGCAAATACATATACGTCAAGCATTTAAGACCTTCATTTAACATCAAGAACCACCCAAAGAGCAACTTATATCTAATTTCAAGCTTCAACACGTCACCTTGGCTTTATCACATATATTGATATTAATCAAGGAGTCTTTCAGCTTATGACCTCTAAGCATTTAATTTAACATGGACTCACGACATATAAGGTAATTATTCACTATTTGACAGTCAATCATGTCCAAAAATATTTGACAATAACAATATTCAATTTCAGCAACTAGAAACATGAATAAGCAAGTCCATTACACGCATTCTCGTACACCGCCTTGTATTGACTTGCTTTACCCACATTTTTACTAGTTTATAATCAACTTCTAACCGTCAAAATGCTTCAAATAGCAGCACTATATAACCTGAAAATTATTTTCCAGTTTCATAACATATATATGAACGCACAAAGTTCTTAATCCTGCCACTCTAATACTAAGAGACATGTTTTAAATATCTATTACTTCTCACACAACAGATTAACTTTCATTATCAAATCAATGGCTGTTTCATACCCATAATATCTAAAATTTCAGATATCAAGCATTCGTCTTACAAATCACAAGAGAACTTGCTTTACACATTTTATTAATATGCAAACATATTAGCCTCCTTGTAAGCACCAACGGCTTTCCCCATTAAATCAGAAAATTTTCTGTTTTGAAAAGAAAAAAACATTGCCTTCATCAACTTTCAGCTTCATAAACATTATTTCAAGCCATTTTAACTACCCTCAATTATTGTTTAATAATCAAGGTATTAACAGTATCTTTCACATACCCTTTTTAGTCTCAAAATCCTTTATTAGCATTTCAGAACCCTAAATCTGATTCAAAAAAATGAATATCGTTCATCACATTACCATACAATTAGTACACACAACACAACACACACACACACACACACACACACACACACACACACACACACACACACACCAGATAATAGATTCGGAAGTTGTTTCCAGCAATAGCAATCAACATATACAAAATAAATTCAGCCACCCAAGCTTGGTTTCATCACCTAGATATGATTTATGTGACTTAGTTCATTGTTCCATGCTTCCTTAAGTTAAACCCAATGGCACACTCACAAAGGCAGCAAGCAGCATCAGTACCTTTAGCTATATTTTCGGTACAAGCTTATGAAACAGTATAACATAGCAAAGATAATCAAATTTCAGCCCCAAGACTGATGGTATCAACAACTCAGAAAGCTTCAAGAATATTGATTTTAAAATCTGCAAACATGCTTTGAGCAATTTAGGATTTTCATTAGCATCGGGAAACACAATCCCCAAATCAGAAAATTCTACAGAGCAAACATAAAGCAGAGGCGTCAATGGTCATTTGGTTATCCAATAACAGAACAACCCAAGCACATGCAACACTGATTATCAACTTTAATCTAGTCCAACTTACCATTTCCACCCTTAATCGTGGTTTTTCCCCTCTTAGAGTTAGAATTCAATAGCTCCTCCCAATCAGAAACCATCCCAATTGAAGAAATCACAGACGAAATGAGGCCTACCTAGGTTCAAAAATCGGCTTGCACATAGCTAGGCTCCTCCCGATGCTTCTTCCTCTGCCTCGGTCTCTGTCTCTGTCTCTCTCTCTGCATTGAACTCTCTCTCTCTCTCTCTCTCTCTCGCTCTCAACCTTTGCTTCTCCCGCGCCTCACCCTCTTCTCTTCCTTCTCTTCAAGCGCGCCAGAGGAAGAAATAAAGAGAAGGAAAGCATAGATGCCAGATGGGGCTTCTACCACGTGTATTTGGGTGCTGACTAATGCCTTTCAAGCTTACTCAGTAAGCCTGCTTGCCCCACTCCGCTATCCATATTAGTTTCCATAGCCATGGCCACATGTTGGGCTCCTTCTTTTCTAGTCAGAATGTGCCCCGCTCCATTTTGAGCCTGGCGATTTGGCGCATTGAGTTAACTATTTTCTCCTCTTTTAATTCAATATTTCTTTATAAAGCAACTCTCAAAAATTAATCTTTAGTGCATTATAATAATTTCCTTCTTCATTTAGCTTCCTTAGTTCATAAAATAATTTTCCTAAAATTTTTTGGGCTAAAAATTAACCTCTAATTTTTTTTTTTAGTTTCTCAAAAAAAAAAAATAAGTCTTTAATTTAGGAAATTAGCTTTTAAATTATCTTTTTGCTTCTCTGTTTTTTTTTTGGGGAAACAAACTCTTTCATAAACTTCTTTATTTTTCAAAATGATTATCTATAATTTCTTGTTAATTATTCTAGACCTTTATATATTTTTAGTAATTATTTTTTTTCTTAATTTTCCTTGAATTTCTTACCCAAAAACAAGCTTTTACTTCATTTTTGTGAGGCCTTTACTAATTTTGTAGCCTCCTAAGCATCTTAATAATTTTTACCTTCGAAATTCGGGAGATTACAGTGGAGATTGCAAAATTTCAAATCATATATTTTCACAAAAATGTGTTATTTCCAACTTAATTTTTGTCAAAACCTCCTAAAGTGTTATCAAGAATCCTGATGTGAGATTTTACAATTTTTACGGACTCTTTTTTTCGTCATTCTCCCAAATATAAATTTTAAGATACAAAACTACCCCTTACCTTATTTTCTCTCCCCCGTCTCCCACCTCATCATTGCCATTTCCACATACAGAATTAACAAGGGAAAACAAATAAAACAAAAGGCTTATTTTAAGGATTATGGTCGTTCCACCCTTTTCAGTGTCTTCCAACAGAATACCATGCGGTTCACCACCATCTAGGTGTAGTGCAAGTCGCTTTGTATTAAGCTATAATAGATAGACATCCATTGTATTAAGTTATAATAGATAGACATTTATTGTATATTATGCTATTAAGGTAGCATATCAAACGGTTAGTCCAATATTTTGTGATATTTTGTCCGTTGTCTAGGTTCATTTTAATCTCTAGAACTGCTGCTCTGTTTTTCTGAAAGAGTTGAACACATGGCGTGCGGCTTCCCAAACTTCTGGTGCAGCCAGTGTATAAGATAAACCGATAAAGGTACAATTTTACATTTGATTATATTTTTCATGTGCATTCAACATCCTCATTATTTTAGTGATGCAATTTTACTGATGTAATCTTATTTCTGATCTACATTTTTTGGTGTAATTTTACCCATAATCTTCTTATTTTAGTGTAATCTTACCCATTATCAAATATATGCATAAATAGATTGCATCGAAATAAAAAGATTATAAGTAAAATTGTGTAAAAAAAATATAGATCAGGGGTGAAATTATATCACCAAGATGATCTCGTAGTGCTGGATATAGTATACTTAAAAAATAAGATTAAAAATAATCTCGTCATTACCCTTATATACACCCATTTCAGGGGGTTTGAGTCGTTCTCCTGAAAATATTGCTACAACCTCTCGCATTCCTCACAAAAAATTGTCCGCCAATAGAACTTTGCCTGTGGGCATGCTTTTGTCAGGGGCGGACGAGTGGCATCACACTCATAGCCCGTTTACTTTTCTCCCCTTTTATAGAGAAAAGGCAAGCATTGCTTTACGTGTTTAGAGACAATTTATTAATGCTTCGTATAGTCTGGGAAGATTTTCTGGAAGACGATGGATTATTTACGAGAAAATTTCAATAACGCCCCATAATACCAAATTAATATCAGTCAATCTCTAACAGATTTTAAAATTTTAGTCTACCCTCTTGTACCAAAATGAAATTAAAATTCAAAAGTAAAAATATAATAATATCCCTCCTTTTTATTTTTGTAAAAAATAAATATTAATTATTGTCGGAGCTCCTGTGGTCAAAGCTCCGACCTCTGATATTGGCCACCTGAGCGCCAGTAGCCAAATCTCTGACCTCCGATAGCTAGTCATCAAAGCTTCGGTCGTCGAAGGATTTTATTTATTTATTTATTTAACTAGGTGATCAAGGGGTTTGAACTCATGACTTATTGGCATACCAAAAAAAATATGATCACCAAACCAACCAACCCACTAAGTCATATGATCCAAAAATATATATATATATATATATATAGCAAAACAAATGCAAGCGTCTAAGTGTGAATAAAGAAGTAAAATTTACTGATTTACAAATGAAATTCAGTAATTTACAACTAAAATTCGGTAATTTACAAAAAAATATAAAGGAATTCATAATCTCAACTACAAGTGTTTAAATATAAATAAACAAGTAAAATTCAACAATTCACAATAAAAATTCAATAATTTACAATCCAAATTTGACAATTTACAAGAAACATAAGAATTTACCACCCCAAAAATAAGTGTTTAAGTGTGAATAAGTAAGTAAAATTCAGCAATTTACCACAAAAATTCAGCCACCTGAGCACTGATGATTGAACTTTTTACTTTTGGTGGCTAGTCACCGTAGAATTTTTCTTTTTAAATAAGGTGGCTAAGAGGATTTGAACTTATGATCCCTTGGCATACCAAAAAGAATATAACCACTAAGCTAACTAACCAACTTAATCATATAATGCAAAGAAAAATATATATAGCAAAACAAATATAAGCGTCTACCAAAATTCGATGATTTATTAAAAAAAAAAAAAAAGAGAATTCACAACCTAAATGCAAATGTCCAAGTATGAATAAACAAGTGAAATTCAGCAATTTACCACAAAAATTCAGCGATCTACAATCCAAATTTGGCAATTTACAAAAAAATATAAGAGAATTCACAGTCCCAAATGCAAGTATTTAAATGTAAATAAACAAATAAAATTTAACAATTTACAACTAAAACTTGGTGATTTACAAGAAATATAAGGAAATTCATAACCCAATATGCTAGTGTTTAGGTGTGAATGAACAAGTAAAATTTAGCAATTTACAAGAAATATAAGAGAATTCATAACTCTCAAATACAAGTATTTATGTTTCTTCTAAATCACTAAATTTGTGTTGTAAATTGCTGAAATTTTATTGTAAATCGCTGAATTTCACTTGTTTATTCATACTTGGACATTTGCATTTAGGCTGTGAATTCTCTTTTTTTTTTTTAATAAATCATCGAATTTTGGTAGACGCTTATATTTGTTTTGCTATATATATTTTTCTTTGCATTATATGATTAAGTGGGTTAGTTAGCTTAGTGGTCATATTCTTTTTGGTATGCCAAGGGATCATAAGTTCAAATCCTCTTAGCCACCCTATTTAAAAAGAAAAATTCTACGGTGACTAGCCACCAAAAGTAAAAAGTTCAATCATCAGTGCTCAGGTGGCTGACACCGGAGGTTGAAGCTCTGGCCACCTGCGCTTTGATGATAATTAATATTTATTCTTCAGAAACAAAAAAAAACCAATTGGACCTGATGGTATTCCTATTGAATCTAGAAATGTTTGGGTGAAGGTGGTGTGCTATGGCTTACTAAGTTATCCAATGCAATATTAAGCTCCAAGAAAATGCCTGATGATTGGAAAAAAAGTACTTTAACACCTATTTATAAGAATAAAAGGGATATCCAGAACTATGCTAGTTACAGAAGGATTAAGCTCATGAACCATACCATGAAATTGTAGGAGAAGGTGATAAAACATAGGTTGAGATTGGAGACTTGTATTTTTGAAAACCAATTTGGGTTCATGCCAGGAAGATCGACAACGGAAGCGATTTATTTACTGAGGAAGTTAATGGAAAAGTACCAAAGCAACATAAGAGACTTGCATATGATTTTTATTGATTTGGAAAAAGCTTACGACTGTGTGCCTAGAGAAGTGCTTTAGAGAATCTGGGAGAAGAAAGGTGTGCATGTCGCTTATATCAAAATCATACAAGACATGTATGAAGGGGTTACAACTAGTGTTAGAATGCCGGGCGGTGAGACAAAGGACTTTTCTATAAGGATTGGCTTATATCAGGGATCATCTTTGAGGCCTTATCTGTTTAACTTAGTTCTCGATGTTCTAACTGAGCATATCAAAGAAAAATCCCAAGTGTATTCTTTTTGCTGATGATATAGTTCTATTGATCGAGTCAAAAGAAGAGATTATCACTAAACTTGAGACATAGAGAAAAACCTTGGAATCGAAGGTTTTTCGTCTAAGTCGAAGCAAGACAGAATATATGCATGGCATTTTTTATAAGATACAAGTTAGAACAGATTTGGAGGTCAAGTTGGGGGATCAAGTCATTCCACAAGTGAAAAAGTTTAAATATTTGGGATCCATTATACAAAAAGATGGTGAAATTGATAGAGATGTTAGTCATAGAATTCAAGCTGGGTGGTTTAAATAGAGAAAAGCGATAAGAGTTATCTGTGATCAAAAAGTATCTAATAAGATCAAAGAAAAGTTCTATCGTGCTGCTATAAGACTAGCAATACTATGTGGCGATGAGTGTTGGGCTTTAAAGGGACAACATGAACATAAAGTGACAGTTATTGAGATGAGAATGTTAAGATGGATGTGTGGTCATACAAGAAAAGACAAGATCCGTAATGAACATATATGAAGAAAAGTTAGAGTGGCTACTATTGATAATAAAATGGTAGAAAATTGATTGAGATGGTTTGGTCACGTGCAAAAAAGGCCTTGGAATGCGCTAGTGAGAAGACTCAATCAAACAGTATGAAATCTTCTAAAAAGGAGTAGAGGAAGGCCGAACTCAACACTTAATAAAGTCATCGAGAGAGATCTTTCAATTAATAATATATCCAAATATTTGGCTTTAGATAGGGCTTAATGGCGTCGTGCGATTTATATAGCCGATCCCACCTAGTGGGATAAGTTGTTGTTGTTGTTGATACTAGAATTTTATATGCTATCTTTGGTCCCTAATATAAGACCGGTAGGCGTTGACTTTGG